GAGTTTCTTCAACAGGGACATGAGGAAGCATAGCAAGGTTTTTTTTTAATTAACAAAAAAAGAGAAGAAAAGGGAATTGAAGTAGTTATTGTTATATTTTTAAAATTCTTAGTGATGTTATAAGGCAAGTACAGTTTTATTTTTAGTCTAATACATTCTAGGATTATAGAGCTTTTAACAATGATGTATTTAGTGAGTTGACTTGTTCAAGTGTTGCAGTTGTAACAGTATGAATGCAAATAAATATGAATATGAATATTTTTTTAATCTGGGAAGGGAGGGCAGATGTCTGACTCCCCGTCCACTCACTGACGGTACTGATGCCTGTAGTTTATTGTTATGATCATATATTTTATGACACACATTACTCCTACAAAAATACAATATTGCACCGCCTACTTCAAATACGTGTAATTGATTAAATGTGAACATACCTCAATCTGAACGGCGTGCCAAAGTGAACACTTCATATCCCCGTCTACATAACGAAAGATATGTCGATTTAAATTATTTCTAAAACAATATCTATATCTCAAGTAAATAATATTATGCGCCTGTAGTCAGTAATTTTGAAATTCCGAACATAAAATTAACTTTGAATTAATCTGTCGTTTAAGACACTAGCAAGATACTGAAATCCCCGCCTTAAGATGGCCGACGATCAAGTTAAGAACAGCGCCACGGCAGAAGAAGATGTAAACATAATAAACAAAAATGAATCGAGCAGCGTTCGATACTTTGACGTAGGCCGTATTTTTAACGTGGATATTTCTATGTGAAGCATTACTGTTTATGAATATAATGTGCTGCTTTTTAGCCGAAAAAGAAGTTGTTCAGTTTTTAGGATCTGATGTATCAGCCTACTAGCCAATAAGTAGCAAGGGTTCGTTTCCCACGGTTAAAGCGACTGAGGTGTGAAGATGACTGCCCACCTCCGTTCAGTGGCAAGGTTAAGTATGTGTGGAGCCATGCCTCCACTCATCTTTGCATTTCAATACCGATAACGTCTTCAAGATATGTATCAAATGTTAGTACAGAAGTTAGGTGACATGACAAAATAAGTACTGCATTGCATACAAATGTAATTGCAGTATATTCCTCTTTGAAGTTACAACCGAAACCATTAACCATTTTAAGAACTTAGAGATTCCCTGGTGAATGTATCAATGAAATTCACACCTTGAGCTCTTGACCAAACTCTTCTCAGTGATTAAGTAAATAATAATAATAATAATAATTACATGTTTGGTGAAAGCAGTTTCAAAATCCGTCACAACTCCCCCCCCAATACCTGTTCTCTTTCAGAGTTCTCGTCAGACTTGTTCTCCACTTCTGGTAAAAAATTCAGATTTTTGTGTAAAAATGGTTGGGTCAGCAGGTAAAAATCACAGTACAGTTGCAATGTGATGAATGTGCAGAAATGGGTTTTTAGGGAAATACGATGCGAGAGTGTAGACCGTATTCCGCCTTGTTGGATCCGTGGTGGCTATGACAAGTACTGTTTTCTGGGATGTGACGTTGTATAGTCTAGTAGTTCATAACATTTTGGATGAATGTACTGTCTCCATTGCCTGTAAATGTAGGCAACATGTTTCTCCAAAACATCGATAAACTTTTACCAGACTACACAGTGTCACATCTCAGAGGATAGTACTCTTCAGTCTCCATTACAAGAGCGGACTTCTTACTCAGCCAAAGTATGAGCACCACCCAGTGCATGAAGTTAAATCAGGACATGTGAATGCGGACTTACTGGAAACAAATAAGAGCTGGGGTAGCTTGGTTGGTATATCAACTGGCTAAGGGCTGGATGACAGGTTGAAGTTCGAGTCCTGCTAGGGTCAAGAATTTTCTCTTCTCTGTCATCCAGACTGGCTCTGGGGTCCACCCAGCCTCCTATCCAGTGGGTACGAGGGGCTCTTTCCCTGGGGGTAAAGTGGCTGGGGCATTAAACTGACCACTCACCTCCAACTAGCACCAAGGTGAAGAGAACATGAATCTATGCATTCACTGCCCCATATGTTCTCATGGCGTAGTGCTTAACTAGATAAGCACAGGGACAAACTTTACCTTATTGGAAACTGATACAAATGGAAATATTTCATACTGAGCGACTCTTTTTAACACGGAAAAATCAATAGTTTTACTCTCTGTACATATAAAACACATGGAAAAAACTTTTCAAAACACAAAGCTTACAACAATTTTATTTTACTCATCACCACATATATTTAAAAAATGGCACCCGAGTAAAGAATCTCATGGCTTTGCCCACAAAAATGCAATAAATACACAAACCACTAATGACCAGGTAGAAAACTTCATTATTTTGACAAATATTCTAATAAGACAATACTATAAATACAGAAAGTTATCCTGTTCTGAATAGCAGACTTGCCAAAACAGAATTTACTAACACACAAAGAATACAGACAAACGCAAACTCATGAACATAACGTGTTTTTTTAAATGTGTTGTAAGTTGAAATTTTCATTTCATTTTTTATAAGGTACAAGTATATCCTTAAATTTGTTATGTTATTTTTGTTACAGTGTTCGTAAGCACGGCTTTTTGCGTTCATTAAATGAACTGGGAGTCACAATTTGTTAGTGGACAAAATGTTTGTAGACATGAATTGTTCGCTTCATGTAAGTTTGTGAAGAGAAGTTTGCCTGTAAAAGATAATGAAGTTCCAGGCACATAAATGCATGCCACAGATATCTGATAGAGACATTTTTTTCAAGCATGTAGTGTACCAGTGACTTAGAAATTCAAAGTGAATTTTAAGATTTTGACACAATTTGCATGTGAGGCAGCAAAAAGGAGTGAAAACTGAACCCATTTTCATCATGAAATGGAGCAGGGAGAAGTTCCCTCTCAATTGGGCCCATCAGAAAGAAACAGGCTCGTTTAGAGTGCCTGATTTATTTATTTTATTCCCAAACACTTTAACTTTGCTGGGGGCACGCAGTAGCGTAATGGTTGAGGCACTATGCTACATGCCAGAAGGTCGTGCATTCAAGTCCCGATGAGGTCACTGGATTTTTTTCAATTGACCTAATCCTTCCAGCCGCACTAGAATCGACACTTCTAATGTCTTGAAAGTCTTATAGAAAAATGTGCTGCACGTGAGACTGTGAAACCATTTGATACTAAGCGATGTGTAGCGGTATGCTACAATCGAATATCATCAATATATACCAGAAAGTGATGTGTCCTATGAACTATGTAAAATAGCATTCATGAAGAAACAGTGCAAATTAAATTCTGGGAATGTCTGCTGACATTCACTTCAGAATCTTCTATCTTCCTGTCTGCTACCAAAAATGTAATAACTGAAATATACAAAACTATAATTTTATCTGTTGTTATATATGGATGTGAAATTCCGTTTCACACACATTAAAAGTGTCTGCGAGTGGTGAGACTAACTTACACAGTGGAGAGCTTCAGAATTTGTACTTTTTACCCAATATTATTATGACAGTCAGTTCAAGGATGATGAGGTGGGTGGGACCCGTGACATCCATGGGACAGAAGAGTCAACTGACAAGTTTCAGGTGCAGACAATATGAAAATGGATCTTAGAGAAATATGATGGGTGTGTGTGTGAACTGGATTCATATGGCTCATGACAGGGACCAACAGTGGGCTCCTATGATTGATATAATAAACCTTCAGGTTCTATATATAGGAGGAATTTCTTGATTAGCTGACAAGTATTAGGTGTTCAGGAAGGGTTCTGCTCTATGTGGTTAGTCAGTCAGTCAGCTGGTCCTACCAAATGAAAATCACCATATGACAGTGTTTAGTATGATGAAAAGTGAAACACGGAAAGTTAAACAAGTTTTCAACCAGTACAAATGACACTTCCATTGTGTGTGGACCTTCTACCAAACATCTCTGCAGAGATAATAACTTAGGAAATGAAACAATTTCCTTAAAAAAAAAGTTTTTCTAAACCTGGCCTGATTACAATACTACACTAAGGAACATAAAATTAATTTAAAATTAACGCAGCTTTGAAGATATTTTTTGCTGATTCAGTAAGAGTCTGAATACAAAGTTTGCAATCTTCTCATAAGCTGCAAACATGAGGGCTGCAGTCAAGATCGTCTGCAGGAGTTTCGCTTCCATGCCTTTGTACAAGCCGGCAACACCATACTTCCTGCAAAAATGATAAGTATAGTTTTAAACTCCATGAACATCAGTAAGACAATTAATTAATTAACTAATTATGCAAGGGCTGTTTGATATTCAAAACATGACTGCAGCTTCTACAGAACAGCTTTGCAACCCACAGAATAGAAGCAATGTTTCATTGGATTTTAAGTTCTCAAAGAGGTGACTATTAAGAATATAATCCACTTTATTGCATACAGTCACAATGTAGGCTTCAAATCGTATGCAAGATATTTGAAGACTACTGTTTCCTGTGAAATGACACTGTACAGTCAGCAAATTGTCACTAATGTTTTGGGGCAACGTGCTGTGTCCATCTTTTTCTACACCTAAGACAAAAGCAACAGCTTCTTCCAACACTTCAGTAACCACCTGCGGACACACAGTGTCATAACTCAGAGTAACACGTCCAAAACTTAAAAGTACTTCCGCAACAGCTGATTATACTCGTCGACTTTAAGCTGACTTACTTCAGGATATAGAGTGCAAGTCTAATTGTTCCAGCACTTTGAGGAAGGTCCTGATAGTTGTGTCCATGCTGAAAATAAAAATAGATTTCAATTCTTCACACTCATATACCTTTAGAAATTTAGCTCAGTTACAAACTGTGATACATAACACACATATGACCCACCTCCTGACTTCACCAAACTAATTTTATGTCACATTTTTATTTGCTGATTTTTGCATGCAAAGCTTCAAGACAGTGGTTATAGGAATCATAATTTTGTGAACTAGCAACTGTTTGATATGGAGAGATAGGATCTGTTTTAGTTCCCTATACAAGCAACAGCCTAAACAACAACAAATGGAACTTCCATATTTGGTTGACAAACATACAAATACAAAGACCACAAGATCTGGAAGGGATGTGGACACAGTCATGACACAGTTCAAGGTACTGTCCTGGGATCTGCCTGGAGAGTTAGAAGAAACCACAAATATCTCAAGTCTGACCAGTTGGTAGGTGAATTTACATTTGTGCCCAGGATTTCTTGAATATGAAGGAAAATCGCTACAACTTTGACATTCCGTGAAAGTGTTATTTTGCTCAGTTACTTCGTGCTGTTGCACAGTTCATGCTTCAAGGTAATGTTTAACCATCTGAACAATAATGAAATTAAGAACTCACACTTTTAATGGGTCTGGCTATAATCAAGGATTTCCATTTTGCTCTCAATGATTGGACAAAGAGGATGAAGATGATGGCTTGCAGAGAATGCCCAGTGGCTTAATGTTAGACCTGAACCAGTTTTTGGTGAAGGAAATGGAATACATACAGAAAAATCAACACTGGACTTAACCAGTCTCAAACCCAAGATATTCTGTACATAAGGTCCAGGACCTTACCTCTACACCCCAAGTCTCCTTAGAAGATTCCTTGTATACTGATAATTTATAATTTCAAAATTGAGTCCATTATAAACACTGAAACATATTTATGAGAGACAACAATAATGAATTTTATTTACCCTTAGTTTTGTCTGGACAAGCTGCAGAGGATAGGTGATCACAGTGGCTACAGCCTTAGCCACAGCACCTACAAGGAAATAAACCAGACCAGACAGCTGCTGGTTGCCATATGCAGCCTGCAGCCTTCTCTTAATTGCCTCGTATGTCATGAACTGTATTGCTGGATTTGACACTAGCATAAGAGACGGTATGGTGCCATTCCACAGGCTGGTTACACCCTCCTGCTGTGCCATCTTGACCAAGCCATCTGCACAAACACAACCTCAAAAGATCAATGATAACTCGTCAATATCACATATGCCTTTCCTTCTTGTTGCCACATTTCGCTTTCTTCTAAATTCAGATAAAATCATATTTACTGAAGCCTGGTTTTGTTAATAATTGGCAGCAAGAACATGTTCTGGTTAAGAACTACGGAGCCCCTAACTTTACATGCTTCCAGCCTTATACATAGACTGCATAAATTATTTCTGTATATAATTCATCCTCAGATATGGTTATAGAAACTGACAATTTCGTGGTAGTGACTATGAACATTACTGTCTTCTGGAATGTCATGCAAAGATCTAACTTTTCTTCCCTGAAGATGGAGTCAGCAAGTTCCTCCAAAACACTAGTACCTATCTACTGAAGTAGAAGGCATCACATCCAAGAAGAAGTAAATCTCCATAGTATGTCAATTTTCACTGCATAACCTCAAACTCTTATGTCATATTAATATTTATGGTTTTACTCAGTCCCTCCAGGCAAATGCTGGAATAGTACATTAAATAGGCCACAATTAATTCATTCAGTACTCTGTGCACTTCATTATTTTCTACCATTTAATCACTCGAGGCGGCAGGCTAACTGGATTGGTCATATCTTACGCAGTAACCGCCTTCTAAAAGAAGTTACTGAAGGAAAGATAGAGGGGCGGATAGAAGTGACCAGAAGATGCTGGATGACCTTGGGGACAGAAGAGGATATGCTCATTTGAAGGAGAAAGCTCTAGATCGCATTAAGTGGAGGAACTGTCAGACTGTGGACCTGTCGTCTGACAGATTACTGATGAATGAATCATTCGAGGCCACAAAGTCTGAATTACTGACGTTCTTAAATAAGTTATAAGCCGTACCTAACAGGCCACTATACTGATCTGCCACATGTTCAGTTGCTCTGTTCCCAGTTCTGGAGCTGAGCCCTTTCATCTTTAGGCGAGTATTCACAACCCAGAGAGGCGTAGTTGTGAATACATTCACAATACCTGCAAAGTTTATACAACATAAAATGAGAGATACGATAAAAAGGTGCAGTCCTTGTGTGTAATTGTATGTCATGTCATGAACGACTACAGGAGAGTAGGTGTAAAGCTCCAACAATTCTCAACTTCAGCAATATTCAGAGGGAAATGGATATATATGCACACAAACAGTGTGTTTCATAATAGGTCTCACATGAATTCACTCTCCTTTAGAATATATGATTACCCCAAAGGATCTCATGTAACAATGTTTACACGAAAGACAGTAAAATAACACTGGCATGGATGCTGCACCCCTCTGCTTCCAGCTACATACAGTCCAACCCCCTTCAAATTTCTCCTTCCCTTTTGGGCAATTCCTGGGTTCAGGATTAATACAGTTTCTTTCATTAATAATGAGCGAAACAGGAGCTGGGGTAGCTCAGTTGGTACAGCGACTAGTCTGCGGGCTGGACAACCAGGAATCAAGATTCAATCCTCAGCAAGGGTTAGGGATTTTTCTCTTCTCCCCTGTGTGCATATCAGCCTCCTACACAATGGGTATCAGGGGCTGCTTCCTTGGGGGTATAAAGTGACAGGGGTGCAAAGCTGACCACTCACCTCAACCTAGTGCCAAGGTTTAGAATGGTGGGGCAACAACTCCACTTCCCCATACATCTTCATGGCATGATGCTTAATTAATTAAGCCAAGAGAGAACTATACATTTTAATAATTGATTATTATTACATAGCCTGCCACGTCAAAACTCAAGCCTCCTTTAATAACACATGTACCCACCGGCTACTAGGAGCCAGGATAACATGGTTGGTACAGCAACTTGCTATGGGCTGGAGGTCCAAGGGGTTTGAGTTTGAGTCCTGGTAGAGTCAATAATTTTCTCTCCTCCAAGTCATCCATAGTAGCTCTGGTGCCCACCCAGCCTCCTATCCAATGGGTACTGGGGGTAAAGTAGCAGGGATGTGAAGCTGACCATTCGCCTCCAGCTAGTGCCGAGGTCAAGAAAATGTAGATCAATACATCTGCTCCCCCATACCCCTTCATGGCATAGTGCTTAATTAGTTAAGCACATGGGCAACTTTACCTTACCTTACTCACCTGCTACTGATGCCAAGAGAAGGTCTCTTCTGGCATTCTGATTGGCAGATGTTGTCCGAAGTGCTTTGAGCCCATGAAATGTGTAAAAATACATAAAGTTTGAAGCACACAGACTCTCCAGCACCGGCACCACACCCCGGTACAACGTGGCGCTGCGAACATAATGCGCTGCTCAAAGGTTGGTTCATATTCATTAATGTCTGTCTCTACTGATCAAACTGAAAGGCTGAGACGGGCTTCACGTGAGCCACACAAGCAGAAAACATTAAATGCATGCAAAATTTGAGTTTTAAATCTTCATGAGTTCAGACCACTTAGGAGGCCTCTGTCTATATCACATCAGCTAAAATTCTTATTTTGGAGCATAGAAACAGTGGGATGTGGGAGGCCCCTGACAGGCTTAAACAACCAAAACTAAACCAAAGAACTAATGAAATCTATTAACATTGTGATGCCTTTTGGTGGGATTGGTAATTGGATTTATTGAACAGTTACAGATCATAACTGCAAGTACCAGAGCACTATTGCCAATTCACACACTCGAAAGTTCACTATAGCACTATGTCTTCTCAGTATGCTATGTCTTCACCAGCTGTCTGGTAATGGCTTCCAACACGTAGTTTCCTCAGCTCCCATGTTCCATGGCTCTGGTCCTAGCTGGCTGGCGCCTATCTCACAACTTCGCATTCCTACACAATGACTTACAGCAATGGGGGCTGCTCCACCCCCCACACCTCAACAGCCTCAGCCTCAGACTGTTCTGCCTACCTGCAGACTCTCCCTTCCAATTAGTTAAACTGCTGCTGGCCCTCACCAGTACAGTCATTGCTTGCTGCAATCTCCTTGAGACCCCTGACCAAGACTTTTATTCTCTCCCAGACATGTACATGTTTTGAAACAAGGCCTCCTCTTCGTTGAGGGACGGGGTCGGTCTTTCTATGTAGGCACTACATTTATTGCACCGTAGTTTCAGCACGAGTATATCCACCTTGTCACAGCGTCCAGATCGCTAAGAACTCTGTGCACTCTTTGTCATTGCACTATGCTTAGTGACATTTATACAAGGTATACAGAGGTTTCCTGTCAATGCAGGCCTGTGCAGCAGGTTATGTGACCACTCTGGAACTGCAGTTAGGTACAGGACTGATCACCACCAAGTTTAAGCCCCTTATACTTCCTACACCTGGCTTCTCCTTGTCCAATAACATGTACATTTGGATTTACATGATTTAGGATTACTTCAGCCTGTGTCCTGAATAATTTAGTTACATGGCCACACATGTAAGGAATTTTGAAAGCCTCTTGAAATTCGCGGACCGGCGTGCATCTGTCAAAGATATCCAATAGCAGGCACTGAATTTTCAAGAGGAGACTGTCCACTGTATACTCACAGGTGGGACAGGCATACGTCATAACTTACATGATCACAGCTTTGTAAAACATATATTTAATATTTGTACTTAGAAGCCCACTTTTGAATAGAGAAAAGGTCCTTATGTATGTGCGCAAGGCCTCAGCTACAGTACTTTCGATATGTTGTCTGTCATACTTATGTCAAAGGTGATGCCGAGATTCATTACATTATATCCGAAGGGAATATGTTGTCCTTTTAGTTGTAGTATGTCATCACAGACTTTATGCCTTCTGGTGAAATAGACTGTCCAAGTTCCCCTACATTGATTTTTGTGTTCCAGTGTTCACATCACGAATTCAGTACACTGAGGCTGTGCTGCAGTTTGCAGGGAACACAAGGTTTGTGCTTGTCACATAAATATATGTATTGTCCGCAGACAGAGCAAGATGATGTATGATTTGAGGTTTTCACGGCGGTGACTATGAAGAAAGCAGTCTTCTGGGATGTGGCACCGTGTAGATGTGGTGTGGAGGAACGTATCGCCTCCATCTTCAGGGTAGAAGGAAAAATAAGAAATTTGCGAGTGAAGAGACCGTGAGAACCGGAACAAGCAGACAAGCAGTCTGAGTTCCAAGTGCCATGGGGGTATCATTTACATATGGAATCTCTCTGTCCCATGGTCCTTGTGATACAGCCTCAGGACAAACCCAACAGGAAACAACTTTTCTTGTAGGTAAATACTGCAGTCATGCAGCCAGCAGGATAGACTGCATAGAAAACACTGCTTCCAACATTTCTTCTATTGTTGTGTGAATTACTGTTGCTATGCTGACGTGACATTTACTGTGCCATGACCTAGTAATGGACATTTCTTCTAGTTAAACTATTCTGGCTTTTGGCAGATATGCCACAATATTACTAGCAAAAATTAAAATTATTTTAATGAAAATGTGTTCTATCCTAAACACCACAGGACACCCAGTAAAATTAATTTTGAACAGTTCAGTCTTCTGAACTGTAACATGTTGCAGTTCTGGAGAAAGCCTATTTCTGAGGAACATATCGCCTTCTTTAGCGTTATAAGCACGAAACCAGTAGGAGGGCTCTACTTACTGCCTACTTCTACTGATTTTCTGCTTTGCTTATTCTTCATCCCTGAAGGCAGAGATGCTGGGCTTTCTCTGAAATACAATGTGTTACAATCCACAAAACTGTACTCCTCACAGTCAACACCATGCAAAACTCAAGTAAAACTAAATTAGTCTTAATTGGCTTAAATATAACTTTATATGCAAATTTTCTGGCTACCACCCATTTGAAAATAATTCCTGGTGGTACCCATGCTTTGTAGTATGTTTCAAGATCATGATTCACATTTATGTATTAATGAGTGATCCAAATAACTTTAAAATCTACTGCCATAACAGTGCTTGTGTAGTCAATCTGTACTTTACTCCCAACAGCAAGTCCATGGCTGTTGGTCTGGCTTATTGCACATAAGTTACTAACAAGATGTCATGAATTCCTTTAGAAATGATTAACTTATGAGATTCGCCAAAAAATGAAGAAGAGATGATCAGTTTTTCATGTCGATAGGACTGTGCGAAGTGAACCCAAATATTTAATGGAGCTATGCTATAGCACTGGGCTACTCAGGCATGATGAAAGAAGGTGAACATTCATGTTGGCCACTGACTTGAGAACTGTAAGCTCTTCTTCATTAAGGCCATTTTACATACGAGTGGACTCACAAGCAGAATTGTACACTACATATATGCTGATATGGCAGATATCATGTAAGTAAATTTTAAATTAATTTAAATTATGTTAATATTAATTTGGGACATGCAGTAGTGTAGTTGCTTGAGGCTTTATACCCAAGCTGGAAGGTTGGGGATTTTAATTCTGATGAAGTGGATTTTTTCAATTCACCTAATCCTTCCAGTCGCACTATGGCCCTAGGGTCGACTCAACCTCCAACAGAAATGAGTACTTGGAATATACTTGGGTGTTAAGGACGACCAGTATGTAAGGCTGACAACCTTACCGCCATCTGTGAGCCGACTGTCTAGAGAAAATGAGGGAGCCTCGACGTCGCACAACCCTATGAGCCTTCACGGCCCGTTACAGGGGTAGCTTTACCCTTTGCTTGAAGCAGATAATCTGGTCTGTAGTTTATTTTACTGTCAGGTGGTAGGGTGATGAAGTGGAAAGAAGCAGTTGTAACGTAATCAAGGTACTATCCTGGCATTAGCCTGGAGGGACTGAGGAAAAGTACAAAAAACCTGGCAGGATAGCTGGTGTTCCAACCAAAATTAAAATTCAGTACCTCCTGAATATGAATCCAGAATGTTACAATGATAACCCACTTAGTACAGTAGATGTTCTTTCCACGCTGGGAAATAGTCATTTTTTTGGAATTAAACAAAAGTTAAATGAAAGATGTAAGCTATATTACATTAAACACAATTTACTAACCTAACACAATCCATAGATAAACTCTCAAATTCCAAACTTACAAGCCCTCTTCTTCTGCCAACTCAACAAGTGTAGTGAATGTATTCTTTACTGCTCTGTTTTCTTCCACTGAAACAAATGACGTACAAATGAGTAGTATTATGAACAACTTCACAATCCAGCGACTACAAAAATCACTGATTTTGGAATGTAACACCATGTAGTTTGCTCGAGAGGTAACAGTATTTTGAAGGAACCTGCAGCCTCCAACATCAGTGCAGAAGAAACTAAATCAGGAGTCAGCGGTTCCTCCAAAATGCCGATACTTCCTGACCAGACTGTATGGTGTCACAGCCCATATGACAATAATCTTCAAATTTCAATTCTGCTTACAGTTACTACATGTAGTTAGTTAGTTAGTTATTAGAGAGGGTGGGTTTCCCCATGCACTTAGACCTGTAGTGGTCCATTGTGCTTCCCTCTATGATTTCTACCAGTCTCTATATCCTACCGGTACTGGTGCTTACCATCAGTCCCGCCCAGCCAGCGAGACCGGCTATACTAGCTGAGAGGTATCTATAATGCTTCCCCCATCTACCGGAGGTATCAGTGACTGCTGTTGGGCGGCAAACGTCCGCAATTTTGCTCAGTGACCTCCTTTGGAGGTATGACGTTCTTTTACGTGCCGTAAAGCTACGACATGGGACCCACGGCTTAAAGTCCTCCCGGAGGACTTGTTCCCTGAATTTTTCCGCCCTTAAAAATTCGACCTCCGCTGGGTATTTGAACCCGCGTACTACGAGTCATGAGGTGGGAACGTTAACTCTAGACTACGGAGGCCGCTAACTACATGTAACATTAACCAATGTCACCAGTCTATCACTAAAATTGGGGTTTACTTATACAAATTCACATATAACCATTACACTTCAATACATACACTGTAGTCGTGACCTCACAGTGTCCAGTGGGAAGAATGTGGCCATCGCAAAGACGCTACCCTGAAACATGAATCTTACGATAAATACCGCATGACATTATGTCCAATGGTACTTATATCTTCTTCCTGGCTAATTTAACAACAGTATTGAGACTATATAGCGTTGGATGACAGATAAACTGGAAAGGTTTAGGAAAGAAGCAGTCATGACCTAATCAATGTACTATCCCAGCATTTGCCTGGAGCAACCGCAGAAAACAAAGAACCTCCCAAACACAAATTACCCCTAAACCAACCTGTTCAGCCCAACTGTACTTACATGTTAATGAGTGACCCAAATAGCTTTGAAACTTTAGCATCATGTTGTGCATCAAGTTAGCACTGCTAACTCCTGGCATTCATTTGTAAAACATATCAAACTGTAATCCTATGGACTTGGTGTTGGAGACAAATTTTAAGGTTAGGCTTTCGGTCTTGTTCTTACAAATAAACTTCTCACAGTGGCAGCCTGAATTTTGTGGATGACATGGTGGTAAATTAGGTCACCCACCAATATATTAAGAACCCATCCAACACACAATGAACACGGTCACTATTCAGAAATTCCAGTATCATACACAAGTAACTGACAAAGCCGTGCCATAGCTCAAGCGGTTAGTCGCTGGCTTCCCACCACAGCAGCCCCGGTTCGATCCCGGGTCTGGTCAAGTGGGATTTGTGGTGGAGAAAGTGGCGCTGGGGCAGGTTTTCTCCGAGTACTTCGGTTTCCCCTGCCAATCTTCATTCCACCAAATTCTCCATCATCATAATCAACCAGGACAGGCTACAATAGGCCAATCAGTGGCCACCCTGCCGAGGGGACCCAGTTGGATTTCACCCCCCACTAAGCGAATTAAAAAAAAATTTAAGTAACTGACAAGAGTCATTCTGATGATGTCGGTAACCTATCATTCTGTTTGGTTATTTTAATAATTTGTATTTCACTTTCATTACACTTGCTTGCTTTATAATATTGCAGGTTTTCCCAGTAACGAAAATTTGTAACCACCTGTGAAACCACATGCTGTCACTACCCATAATTCTTTGAAGTAACATCCCCCAGGACAGCATCATACAATGCTATCACTGATTCACATAATTTAAATCTTCATTAATTAACCATAAAATTATATGCAAATATTATTTTCATACCAACAACTACTGTATACTGTTACACAAATACAATGTTACAGTCACAGTCATATATGTCCCATCAGAATGATGACATATTACTTTGTAACACAGCCTCCCATACCAATTTAATGTCAATGTGGATACTGTTTCTGAGTCACAGTACCATGTTCATGATGGCTGCATTGCTTATGTAAAAATACTTATCAATTCTCAGTTGGTTCCTTAACAAATAATATTAAAAATTATCAAACAAACTGCTATTTCGAATTTCTGCTATTCGCAGTTCATTCTGCTCAATTCCAATTGCTACTATAAAAACAATTCCATCATTCTTGCAAGAAGGGCACAAAATCTGGCTCTCATCTGAAGAACCTGAGCTTCAGATTTATAACTCTTACTTTAAGACATACATTACAAAGAATTTATAGAATTTGGTAATCACATTACCGTTATATCAGAAGTACCTACTGACTGAAAGAGGTGATAACGGTGACCAACGTAAAATCAAACTGGAGAAAACGAAAGATATTTTTAAAGCCATAAGCTACAATAATGTTACCACTTACAGTTGCCCCTGCAACGGCATGAACAAGGGTCTGATAGCTGAAGATACCATCCTTTGAACTCATTTTGGATTCCGTGAAAATTCATACAACCGCTGCCTCAAAAATATGCACAAATAACCTAATAAATTATTTTATCCTCGATGACTTATACGTCGACATTCACACAGACGTGCCATTTGAGGATTCTGAAGTTTCGACTTGTATTAATATTTACACTGTAACCTCGTCATGATCAAACACAGTCAAGGTGAAGAAAAGAAAATGTTTACTTATCACCAACGTTTTAAAAAAACAATGGTCATCCTCCGGCCATTTTGCTCATGACGTCACCAACGAGCACCAAACCAATTACAATACCAACCAACGGTTACTGTTGTTACTGTAATGTTCTAGGCTTATGTAAGGTGGGTGTACAGTAATCTATTGTGAACGATTATTAATGACTCTGGTCTTCCTTTTAACATACTATAGATCGGTTCTTATCATTTATCAATGTCTACATGTTTTCCGACCCAAAAGAAATGTCCTCTACCTCTGTCTGGCTTCAGTGAGGCTCTAAATATCCTGTGTAACTTTTCTATAGACTTCACATATCTCTTAATATTTTTGAAAAGCACGGAATTAATGCGACTCCATTATTATAATAGCGATATAATTTTGGGAACCTTCAGCCGCACATTTTTAAGCAGTGTCCGGCAACGTTTAATTCAAAATAAACGTTTTTTAATTTAGTGGGTCCCAAGATTATTTGGGTGCTTCTGCTTCTTAGAGCTCACCATTAGAGAACAGATATTTGTATCAGTGTAACTGAAAATATTATACCTTTTATAATACGATGCGATCGAATTTTATGCAAAATTGAAATAATGTGAATCCTCTCCATCTTGCTTTACATGAGAAAACCTGTCTTGAATTATGTGGTCTTCAGGAATGTATTCATCACATAAAATCACATCTCACCTATGGTACAACGTGGCCTCTCCCTGGTCTACAGTAAGATGGGTGTTCTTTAAGGCAATGAAGTAAATATTAACACAATATCTAATGAACAGAAAAAGCAACTGACATTCATTAGGATGACAAAAGAAATACATTTTTTTTTCAATTTATTTTTCCTCAAGTGCATAATGTTCAACATTCAGATTGGGATAACAATGTGTGGAATTTGGGTGGAAAACTTCCTGGAAAACAGCTTGTAGGAAAACTCATGTGAGGTGATGAGAATATTAAACTTGACCATAGGCAAGATAGATATTAGGATACAAACTGGATTAAACTCTTAACAACACTTGGTCTCCTTTACGGAAGATGTCCATTCTTCCCTATTATTTTCCATTTGCCTCCATCTCTTCACATGGCTTCAGAATATTATTGTTTGGTATGACTGGACTCTATAACTAGAGAATGCAGGGTTTGAATGACTGTACAACTGAGCCATAATTAGGTACAGTGACCTTGCTTGAAAGCCTGAGAGGCAACATCATATGTCTTCACCTGTCTGAATGGTAAGTTCTTTCCATTAATGATAACATGGGTGGCTGCAGAGAGAGGGGATACTGGAAGCAAACCAGGCTTTTAAAAATTACTGAATTAAAGAAATATACAAAACTGTGTACCCATTTTATACACACCAACCGTGATCCACAAGAGAACAATCATAGGCAAAAGAAAAAATTCCACGCATGACAACAGTTAAAACACATATGATTTCTGCAAATGGAGCACACAAATGAGAAAGAACAGAAGGAATTAATAACTGCAAATACATTTTTAAGTTATTTTTTATTTTCAATTTGAATCCATGCCTCCCATATTATAACAGGACATAAATCTTGAATATACATCAAAATTAAAGCATATAATTTTTAAGCTTTAGTAAGTTTTAATATGTCATATTTCAATTTTAATAAATGTAACAAACTATAACTCACACTTAATATAATTCAGAAAACTCAATTAAGTATTAGTGAACTTTCTTCACCACTGACAATGAAAAACAGATGAAGAATGTGAATTCTACTGAAATCTATTTCACACTTTTCCAGTTTCATTTATCTAAAGACTCGCAACTGATATGACCAATCTGTTACATAAGCTAAAATATAAACCTACTAAGTCTTTCTTGCATTTTATGTTTCTGTTGAATCACATACTGATAACAGTGACTGTTAGGATATTATGAATCAGGAAGGGCCGGGCATTTGTTGGATATGAGGTCTTCACGATGATGTCTATGAAGTTTTCTGGATTGTAATTCTGTGTAGTTCAGAGGAAGCTTGATGTTTCAGAGGAACATACTGTGTTCATCTTCAGGGCCGAACAGTAAGCTTGTTTCCTGTGTGGCTTACTCTTTGACCCTGAAGATGGGGGTGATATCTTCCTCCAAAACGTCAGGCATTCTATGAACCACACAGTGTTACAACCCAGAAGAACATGCTCTTCAACGGATATTTGCAGTTGTAGGGTTCCTAAACTGGTAGAGCACCTGATAATGACATTAATGACCTTCCACATTTTTTACAATCAGGTGATAATGTAATGTTATAAACAGATTACAACCCTTTCTTGATCAGTCTTGCTGATTCAGTAATGACAATAATAATAATAATAATAATAATAATAATCTCTCCAAACGTTTTCAGCAAAAGCATGGAATTTGAAAGTCTACATATTCACACTATCTACATTTACAAAAGACATCACTTTCTAATAAGAATACATGGATGAACAAGTCTACGTTTGGTATGCAAGGATTCTACAGTTATCAATTTTAAGTAAAAATATAACATAAAATTTATTTTTTACATCCATCACATATAAAGTCACACACAATAGATTTAAGTCTCAAATATTCTTTCTTGATAACTAAAAATCCAACGTTTATCAAATCAAATGTAAGCTTTCAAATTAATTAAATTACAACCCCCCAAAAACAATTTCAAATTACGTTTTAAACAACTGAATATTTACATGTATTTACAATTTCTACCACTAGAGAATAGGGGTACAAGGAAGGAAAACAATTATAGAAGTCAAGCCTGGCTCTATGGTTTGCTCTGTTGAATTTCAACATGAAAAACCAATATGGAAGCTTTGAATTACCCTTAAAACAGACATTTCTGTCATTAGGCAACATATCAAAAAGACAATTAAAAACATGTATCCTTCACAAACACTTCTAGCAGCAAATATAATTAGAACGATCAAAGCGAAGAGTATGACATGGGCAGGACATGTAGCAAGTGTGGGAGAGAAGAGGAATGCATATGTTTTTAGTGGGAAAATAACGGATCTTCAATAAACAAGATGGGGGTAAAAAGGTAAAGTTGTTCCTATGCTTAACTAATTAAGCACTATAATATGAAGGCTTATTGGGGAGTGGATGTATAGGCCCACATTTTCTTCATCCCAGCACTACTTGGAGGTGAGTGGCCAGTTTCACACCCCAGCCACTTTACCCCTGGAGAAAGAGACCCCAGTACCCACTGAATAGGAGATTGGGTGGACCCCAGAACCAGGTCTGGACGATTTGGAGAAGAGAAAATCCTTGATCCTACTGGGACTCAAACTTTGACCCCTCGATCGTCCAGCCATAGCCAGTCGCTATATGGAATGCGCTATCCTGGCTCTTAACAGGATGTGGGCATGGAACTTATTCATCTGGCTAGGGATAGAGACCAGTGGCTAGCTACTGTGGTCAAAATAATGCAGCTTCAGGTTCTATAAAATGTTGGGAATTTCTTGAGTGGCTAAGCAACTGCTAGGTTTCAAGAAAAACTCAGTTCCACAAGGCTTACTTGACTTTGTTATCCTTCATAAATGGATAGGTTAGTTCCAACTGCTACTGCCACCATATTTATTATTGTACGAATGAACTCAATAAACTTATTTTCAAAACACTGGATATGTCAACATTTCCACTGGTCATGCTTATTCTGAGAGTGGGCATTATAACTAATAGGAAGAGCAGTACAAACCGTTCAAATCAGTGCTAAATATATCCCCCCCCCCTTGGGCCCTGGCCTTTGATTTTTCAGTTTCATGATCATTTTTACAGATGGTAGAACTCCTTGGACGAGTGATTCGCTCACTGCAAGGCCTTTACCTAAACACAGGGCAACACAAACACATACCAAACATCCATGCCTTGTGTGGGATTCTTACCCATGATCCTGGCTTTCCAAGCAAACGAAGACAGTGCATGCCTTAGACTGCTAGGCTACCATGACCAGCAAAATATATCCTTTTACTACTTGGAAATACAGTTTAAAATTTGTTTGCATTTCAGTTTTAGAAACTACCATGTCCCTAACATCTGTCATAAGATGTGGTGTAGCTATCAAAATTAATTTCTTAATGTCAAATATCATGACAAATTTTAAGTTGGTGACAATTCAGAGAGTAGTTTCTGAGTTATGGCACCACATATTCTCACACATGGTTACCAACAGTGGGGACCTAGCGTCTCCCTCTTCAAGGTAGGAAATAATGGCAGTGGGCTCCTCTGAAATGTTGCTTATCATCTACGAAGCTAAGCCACATCATTACATACAGGACCACAATCTAATTTATCCCATTCTATTATGCTTGTTCCATCTAATGCAACTCAAATACTGTATACCATTCAATTCTAAAAATTTTAAAATTTTAATAAATTGATATGTAATAACTGATGAATACTAATATTGTTGTCCACCAGAAAATCATTGTAAATATTGGCCCATTTAAGAAGCAAGATGGTTTGCAAGGCCGCGCCATAGCTTAAGCGGTTAGTTGCTGGCTTCCCACCACTGCGGCCTGGGTTCAATCCCAGGTCTGCTCAAGTAGGATTTGTGGTGGACAAAGTGGCACTGGGGAGGGTTTTCTCTGAGTACTTTGGCTTCCCCTACCAATCTTCATTCCACCAAATTCTCCGTCATCATAATCACCCGGGGCAGACTACAATAGGCCAATCAGTGGCTGCCGTGCCGAGTGGAACCAGTTGGACTCTACCCCCACTAAGCGAATTAAAAAAGAAAAAATCAAAAAGATGGTTTGCAATTCAGAAGAGCATTTGCTAATCAGTTGAATTAACCTGATGATGACAAAAAATGGTTGAAACATATTGTGATATTAATAAAACAAATTGAATGGTGTTTATTATTTGAGTTGCTTTAGACGGAACAAGCCTAATAGAATAGTTTGCAAATACGCAATAGGATGCATTCTATAAAGATAATTTATCCTAATTTGACTGCCTGTAGGTGGGGAAAGCAGAGTTTCATACAGATAGCTTTGAATGTCAGAAAATATGTTGGGAAATTTATGAAGGTCTAACAGTGTGGACAAATTA